CACAGAAACAAAGGCCTAAATACAAGGGATTCTGGGAGAGAGCAAGGAGCCAGCCTCACTAAAGGAAGTATCAACACTGGGCAGCAGTAAGCACCAAGTCTGTAAGGTGGATGTTGGCAAATTATAGTGGTTAAGGAATTTGGATTCCATCCTGTGTAAATAAGATTTTATTTATGTGGAGGTCAGGAAGAATTTCAGAGCAGGAGGGCCAAGTCACATATTGATGGACAGTAAGAAGCCAGGAGGTAAATAACAACATGCTGGCCTGAGGCACTGCAGCAGGAGCCAGGAAAGGGATGCTCAAAACATTCTTAAGGCTCAGTATGAGAAATACAAATCTAATGTTAAGTGCTACAATTGGTTACATTAGTTTTGATTCCAATGGCATGTTACCAGTTCTTTATTCTTTCAAGTCATGCATCTACAGATTAAAATATTAAAAAAAAATCAGTCCAAAATCACCTATAAAGCCTATTTTCAAAAAGGCATTACATAAGGTATCTGAAACACAGTTTTCTTGCCTGAAAAGGCTTCATAAGTCAACTGAGGCAGTCAAGAACAGTGCATAAATGGTCTACACAGTGAATATGTAAAAGACAAACAAGACATCTATACAATGGTTACTTTTATTTTCCCGATGGCCCATGGCTGTAGGCTTTCTCTGATCTGATTACAAAAGACTTGACAATCGGTGCATTCATTATCAGTCTAATAGTTAATCTCAATAATGGAAGTGCTGTTAGCAATGAGATGGGAAGGAAAGGCACTGAGCTGACACAGCCCCAACAAGAGCAGCCGAGGCTTCGAAGGCGTTGGCCTGCAGAGAACCAACGTTTCCTGAGAAGCCTTTGCTGACACCCCTACCCCATCTCAAAGCAGACCTAGCCGAGCTCCTGCTGAGCTTCCAAGCCCTTTGCCTCCTGCACGGAGCACTTCCCTGTGAAAGGGGCACAGGGCGCGGCCTCATCCCTGCAGCTTTTCACCCTCCCCAGCAGAACTCACTGCTGTTACTCCTAACACTCCTGGCCCTCCCAGTCCCAGATCTTTAAAAGATAGAGCCCTGGGCTTCCACAAAGCAAAGGCCACCAAGCCTCACTCACCACAAATCTCACATCCTCATCACAGAGTCACTGGCATTCCACCAACCTCTGCTGGGGCAGTCAGGGGCAGGAAGCCCACTGCCTCTAAGGACATTCCATTTTCTGGCAGCTAAAATTGTTTAAGCTGGCTAAAATCTGTTACTGCCATGAAAAAGGCAGAGCCAAACACAGAGTTCTTTTAAATTTTCCCTCACTAGAGAACTCCCTCTAAGGTGACATCCAGTCTACCCTCCAACAGTTCCAAAGCATAAATTTCTAAGCTATCACCAGCACAGCAGGTAGGCTCCACTGCAGACTGGCTAACGGTAGAGCCAGGGAGACAGGCGCAGAAGGCTCCCTCAGTGAAGAAAAAATGTCGCTTTACTTCACAGGACTGCTACGAGGATTAACCTATGAACTATGTCAGTGAAGCACCTGAGTCTAAGGTGTCAGAAACACACCTGGAACTAGCTCTCAGCAAAAACGAAGATTCTGTGCCAGACCTCAAGGATAACAAAACCAAAAGACCTGAACATCAGTACCCTCCCTTGGAATTCCTCGTTCTGGGACAGGTTTTATGCAACTGCTGCCTCTGGCAGCATGACCAACAGAGGATGTTTTCCCTTAGCACCAACCTGAAAACATCCAGAGGCACACTTGTACACACACGTGCAGTCTTGGGGGTGGGGAGACTGCCCTTGTTCATCACACCAAGTGTGGGTGGATCTGAATTATAACTACTGGTCAGAAGTGAGAGGATGCATTTTTTTTTTTTTTTTTGGAAGATAGTGGAAGAATTCCTAGGTGGACAAAATAACTGAGTGGTCATTAAATCTTATCTATAATTATCTCATCCAGTGGTTTCCAGTTTAATTCTGAACCAGGCATACACAAAAATTATATAGGGGCCAATTCAGAGTTTTTAATCTGGTATTCTGCCAACTTAAAGCTTTCCTGAAGTCAGAGCTACTATGGACATATTTAACAAAAGAATACCACTACATCAAAGAAGTTAAAAGGATAAAATCCCAGAATAAAAGCAACCATTAACTCAAACTTTATGAGAGAAGGCTGTATTCTTTGTAATTTTCTCATTTTGATTAAGGGCTGGAAAAAATATCACCCAGGCCTGATGCCTGGACCTGGACAGAATTTGGAAACCACGGATCCATGTCAGTCTTCTCCCAGTCCACAGGTAGTCCAAGAGTCCTCCTGGGCCCCTGGTGGTCAAGGCACAGTGTGTGTACCTCCAGCACTTGCTCCCATCCACACAGAATCTGGCACCCTGGGGACGCTCACAATTTATCAAAAAAAAGATGTGAGCACGGTCTAAATAAACAAGACACATGCATAAACATGCACACTGTAAAATTCATGTTCTATTTTCAAAAAATATTGGAATACTTTTATATACGTAAATGCAGTTATTAAAACACCATGGTTTGCTGGGCATGGTGGTTCACTCTTATAATCCCAGCACTTGGATAGTTTCAAGTTTGAAACCAGCCTGGACTACAAAGTGAGCCCAAGACCAGCCTGAACTGCACAGCAAGACCCTGTCTCAAAAAAAAAAAAAAAAAAAAAAAAAGACAAAGGTTCATATAAGATGGGAGGATGAAGAAAAGATGATTTTATTCCTTTCTTTTCTTTTTTGAGGCAGAATTTATGTACTCCAGCCTGACTTTGAACTCACTAAATAGCCAAGTGCTGTCTCCCAAGTGCTGAGATTTACAGATGTGCACTGCCACATCCCGCAGGGAAAGGATACTCTATGATAGAGTACTGTGTTTCAGTTATATACTCAAATACAATTCTCTTGACATTTGAAATGAACTAAGGCTTCTTCTTCTAACTCTGGGAACTTCTCTGTGTGCATGTATGTGACAAAGGTAGCGTTCAGGCAGATGGTCCGGGAGATGGTGTCACTCAGGCATGCACTAGATAAATACCTCAGGGCCCAGCACACATTTCTAGTACTGTGTTAGACACTAGAAGCAAAAGGTGAATTAGAAGACTTTCATGAACTGAAAAAGTTGAAACTCACTAATATATATTGCAATCTAAATTACATTATTGATCATTCTCTTCAATTTTCCTTAACAAAAGATGAGGATCATTTAAAACAGCCTTGTTAAATTCTAACAGCGCATAGTGACTGCACACAAATAAACAATTGATTTTGTGTTCCAATTTTCATCTGCTTATTGAATTAAAAGTTCAAACTTCGGGCAACTGAAGTAGGATATCCTTGGACGCAAGGCTTTATGCCAAAAGCATAACATGCAATAGTATATCTCTGAACAATGACTTCTTGTTCTGTGTGCCTGGGTAAAGCCACAGGTGACTTGGCCAAGTTTTCTGGTGACTTCTAAGTGCAGCGAAGACCAGAACCATATTACTCAATCCCTCTTGGTAAAACTGCTACCCTAGCCAAGGTCTTCATGGTTGTGTTTTGTTTTTATCTGGGGTGCTAGGGATCAACTGGAGTTATAACCCCCATCACTCTAGTCTACGTCTGTGGATCACTAACGCTCTGGTTACCTTACACTTGTCTTTTGGATTTTACAGGTGGAAGAGAAGGCTGCAGGGCAGGAAGGGGCAGCAGAGGTTCTCGTGGTAGTTGCAACGTGACAGCAGAGGTAAAACAACCAGGCAGACAGACGGAACATAACCAGGGAAGTACAGGAAGGCCAGAAGGAGAAAGTAATAGCACAGTAAGTCAGCAAGGGGGGTCAAACATGCTGTAATTCAGATCGGCTCAGTGCTCCACAAGCACAAGTCAGGAACAAACAGAACGCTGGGAGACACAGCCACGATGGAGGCATGTAAACATTTTAGCTGTAAAGTGAACAAAGGTCAGAGAGCTCTTTAAGGGGCATCTAGATCCAGATTTACCTGCTGCTGGTATTTCTAGTATAAGAAAATCACTTCACATCAAGAACTGGGTTTAAAATCTCCCCCAGGAAACTGCGACTTTAGAGGAAAGGTAAGTTTTTAGCACTTTTAAAGAGGTTACCCTTCAGCAAGAAAGTTCTTCAAGCTTGCTGATGATTAGTAACACTTTTCAGAAACATCTTTTAAATTTAAAGGCTAGGGTTAAAATACCAAGAACCAGTATCTGTAGCTAAGACAGCGCTGTGGAACAGCATCAAAGCCGAGGTCAGGAGGAGGGAATGAATGCCTCCGCAGCAGGCTTTGCCAAAGTGAGGAAAGTCAAAGGTCAACAGCTCAGAGGCACCAACAGTCCCACTGCTGTCTGTAAAATGCATGGAGTGACTAACACAGTACATACACAGGGAGCAGGTACTGAGGAGCTCCACTGTCCACGGAGGAAAACCACAGAGGACTAATTAGTACACGCTCTCTTTCCCTACGGAAAGTGTTAACATGAGCAAGGGTCATACTTCTATCTTAACTCCCATAATAAAATGTAAAAGAACTTATAAGGGTTAGTTATCTGACTCTGACTCTAACCCTAACCAAAGGCTGATGTTTTTCATGTGTATGTGCCTATTAAAAATCTTTTTAAAAACAAACAATTGTTTAAGTTTCTAAATTTGTTTAGTTTCTACCTTTAAAATTCTAGTTATTTAGTTAAATTTGGCTTTAAGAAATTACTGATATTTTAAAAATGTTGATAGTATCCATATAAACTTGTATTTGAGTTTTAGATTTAAAATAGGCTTTTCAACATAGCTACTCCCCATAATCATATTAAATGACTTTCCTAATTAATACACAACTGGTACACATTTCAAAATACTAATCAAATGATATTTTTATATGCTCTAGAAAGAAACTCTTTACCAGCGTTCCTTACTTCTGTATCTCTGAGGTCCTCTAAGGTAATTTTTTTTCTGTTTGTTTATTTATTTTTGTGTTTGTTTTGAGACAGGGTCTCACTATGTAGCCCAGGCTGACCTTGAACTCACTTGGATCCTCCTGTCTCAGCCTGGGATTACAGGTGCACACCACCATGTCCAGCAGGTAAATTTTATTCTAATGAACAGCGATTATCAACCTGGAAGAGATTTTGTATCCTCAGAGGTCTGTGCATGTATGGACACAAAAAGATGTGGGAATGCCTGGAGATATTTTGGGTGGGGCAACTAGGTTGCATGGTATGCAGAGCTACTGGCAACTAACAGGTAGGTCACGGAGATGCTGTTAAATTTAAGACAGCCCCTCGCAGCACAGAATTATCCAACCCAATGTGTCAATAGTGCCTCCACTTGGAAAATTCTGAACTGAAACAAGCAAATGTGCAAATACAGCTGACACATTCAAAATAAACTGCCAACTAGGTAATTCAAAGTTCACTAAGCTTTGTGATTAGTACAGACTCAGACACAATAAAAGTTGCTTTTCATACTATCAAAATACATTAAAATGTACTTTTACTACTCAAGCAATTAATGATATACTTCCTTCAAAAAGAACATTTCAGAAGAAAAAAAAGCAAGTGAACCAATGATATTCTTGACAGTTTTCTATGATGCTCTGAACTTTTGGAAGAACAGATCATCTCTAACCAACTCCTTTCTCTCAGTCATTAGATTTCTAACTGGAGAAAGTTTGAAGTCAATGAACGAGAAAAGTGAAGTACGTCACACTAATCGGGAATATAATCCTAGCCCAAAGTGTATTACTAAGGTACCTATCATAACTTTAATGATTACCTGGCAAAAGGACTGGTTCCAGTTTTTTAATCTTCGGTTCCGAATTGATCTTATCGTCACTCTGAAATACATGTAACAAATCAAATGAAAACCCAGATTCTCCCCGTCATAAGATACTAAGCAACAACACTTAGGACGGACACCTATCTCCCTATTAGAACTTTTCATGTTTTAACCACGTCTGAACCGAATTCTTTTAGAGATCTTTCCTTATCGACCTGGAAACCCGACAACAAAAATACGCGAACAGCGCGAGCCGCTTCCAAGTGTTCCCGTCTGTGACGGACAGGTCGCCTCCTCTACCAGATGCCCACAAACGCTGCGCTCCCCGGCGGTGGCGGTGGCGGTGGCGGTGGCAGTGGGGACCGTGGCCCCGCCAGGAGTAACTCCACACTGTAAGCTCGGCTTCCGACACCTTCCTTGGGGCCCGTCACCCCGCAACGCTAAGGACAAGCCCCCTTCGGGCAAAGAATGGCAGCGGCGGAGTTTTACAAGTTTGGACCGCGCAGGCGGAGGCTCCGAGCAGCCGCGTTCCTGCGCGCCGGGGCCGGGGAGGCGGACGCGGGCGCGGCGTCCGGGCTCCCCAGGCTCCCCGGGCTCCAGGGTCCGGCGGGGGCGCCCCGGAAGCCCCGGGGAGAGGCGCCGGCCGCGAGAGGCGCTTACCTGGGCCGGCGGCAGCAGGTAGGACCTGAAGGACGGTCTGGGCGGCTTCAGCGAGAACATGACGCCGCCGCCTCTCGCCCGGCCCGTCGCGCCGTCGCGGGCCAGCGGCAGCGCCGACGCCTCCCCGCCTCTGGCCTTCAGCGTGCCCCCTGCAGCTGCCCAGGCCCGGTCTGCGGCCGGCCAGGCCGGGCGGGCGGGCTGACGGGCGGGGACACGGCGCGCCGCCCGCCCGAGCGGGGAGGAGCCCAGGCCGAGCCGGGCCGGCGCGAGTCCGGGCGCCCATCCCCGGAAGGGGCCGGCCCCGCCCCGCCCCGAGACGGCGCGCGCAGGGCCCGGGGCTCGCAGCCGCAGACCTCTAGGCCGCGCTGGCGCGCGAACGCGCGGGTCGGGCCAGACGCCTCTGCCGGGCGCTCGAGGAGGGCACCGAGGGGAGCGGGCCGGCAGCCATCTTAGAACCCGGCCTAGGGAGAGCGCCGCTACGGCGGCCTGCAGGGCTCACGGCGGCCCGCGGGGACCTGCGGCGCTCGGGGGTCAGGCGGCCGCCCAGCGCTACCGCGGCGGCGGCGGCGGTGGAAGCCGGCCGCGTAGGTGCCCACTGTGGCGGTTCCCCCAGGGACCCGTTTCGTGGGACATTTTTGCTGCTCGTTAATCATTCTGGGCAAGCATTATGTTTGAAGTCGTGGGGCAGGCGTCCAGGGCCGGGAAGGGAACCCTGGTACCCCGGAGTCAGGAAGGTGCCTTGCGTGCCGTGCAGGACCGACACCGGTGCTACCGGAGGTGGCCCGGGTCAGGCGTTCATCGCGGGCCGTGCTGCCCGAGATAATCAAGTTCTCGCACTGAGAAGGATTTTCTTCCATCACCGAGTCTGGTGGCTTTGCGCTAAAGTTTTAGACAATGATGACCCGCCTACCTGTCGAATTGACTCCTGCTTTTCTTAGGATGCTGACATGTGGCATATGCTGCAGAGACGGCACAGATGACACTGATCCTCAGTCCAGGCTTCTCGGTTTGGTTCTTTAATGTCTACCTTTTTTTGTTTTTTAACTTTAACGAGGAAAAATATATTAAGCAAGTTATCTTCCCTTCTTGCCCATCTTCTCGTTTAAAGATGTTAACAAGCTGAAAAATGATCAAAAGCCCAGCAAGATTAAGGCTCCAACAGGGTTGGAGGTGGGGGTTGAGGGTGGGACTAAATATGCTGTGGAATAGAGCCTCTGCCCATTAGTTACAAAGCACAGAGAAACTTCACCGTGAGTTCAGGGCATGTTTCATGCGGTATTTCTGAACCCGGGCAGCTTTTGGTGGGAGGAAGCTAGTGCTGTTACATTTTGGTGGATCAATTAGTTGAGTGAGAGTCGATTCTTATTATATACTGTACTCTAAAAGGTAAAACCCCAGTCCAACACTTTATAATTAATGTTACAAAGGAAGCTCTGATGTGGTCATACAAATCACAAACAAATTGACAAGTGTAACTGATGTGGCTAACGTGAAAAAATCAAAGCAAAGATTCAGAATGTTCCTCTTTTCCTAGCTTTGGAACTCTACTGGTCTTTCTGGCTAGCCTGATTGAGTAACACAAAACGCCATTTTGCACAGGAACCACAATTGCACTTTAATATGCTAATTCCATTGGATTATATGTGTTAACAACACTATTATGAGCACATTTTTCATGAATATTCTGTATTTCTCTACATTAAGAGGATTTTTCCCCCCACAAATACTCGAAGCACTTTGTGAATTATCCTTTATGCTTTATGAAATTCTGTGATTTGCATTTTGCTGTACTGGTTTTTCTTCACATCTATAATTCTAATATGTGTGTGATCATATAATTGACAAGCAGAAAAAGCTGCACTTTGTAGATTTGTTAGCTTAACTATGAAATGTCTGTATATCTAATAGTATTGTTAATCTGCTCGGGCTACTGTAACAAAATACTACAGACTGGTAATTTAAGCAGCAGATAGGTATTTGTGCTCTGCTCTAGAACCTGGGAGGCCTGAGACAAAGTTCCAGCCGGGGAGGGTTTTGACAGTTTTGCTCCTGGTTCGCAGGTGGCTGCCTTCTTGCTGTGTCCTCCTCACATTGTGGTAGTGGGGACGGTTGGAAGGTGAGCTCGCTGAAATCTCTTGTAGGGACCATACTCCTGTCAGATTAGGACCCCACGCCAATGACTTCATGACCCTGCTTACCTCTTTCCCTGTCTCTGAATACAGTTATGTTGGACGTTAGTTTCAATGTGTGCAGTTTTGCGGAGACATAACTCACTTCGCAGCACTGACTTGCAGCCTTTTCTGAGATCCCGATCCCTTTGACTACTCTGATACAACTGACCACCCTCTCTTGTTTTTTCCCTCTCTGTCACAGTTTTGACCTTCTTCCCCTTTTTCTCTATGCTTTTCCATTATTGATTCTTGTATCATGGGAAATAAAGATCACTTCTTTTTCCTTGGCGAGAGAAAAACAAGCTGATATTTCTTAGCCTACCATGTGCCAAGTGTATTCTGTTTTAATTTAGGCACTCATTCAGTCACTTAACAGATTGCACTGAGTGCTGACTTTGTGCTAGCCACAAGTCAGGACACTAAAAAGTTGAAATCCGTACCTTAACAGCATTTCATTCTGGGTGGAAAGATATAAAAAATTAGGGTGTAACACGTCAGGTGGTATCAAATGCTATGAATAAAGTTAAACATGGGATGAGAAAGAGGCTTCTGTTTCTCAATGGGAAGTTAGGTGTGGCCGGGGAGGCCTTTCTGTGAGATGACATTTCAACGGAGGCCAAGAGGGATGGAGCAAGCCAAGTGGAAATTAGAGGAAGAGCTTTTTCAGACAGAGGGGTTAGCAGTGTTGACAACAGTCTGGGTAGTGTCTGAGGCCAGTGCAGCTGAAGTAGCCTAACTCAGTGGGAGAGGGAATCAGAGGGAAAGGATGGGCCAGATGGCGTGAGTCCTGGAACTTGAATAAGCTTGTCAGTGTTCCGAGATAAGAATGGTGGGACTGCAGTGGTACTGCATGGTGGAATCTGGAACACAGTGGGGGACTATTAAAATAGTCCAAGTGAAAGTTGGTCGAGGTCTTAGCCACGCAAGAGGTTAGAAATATACGTGAGCCCTGCAAAACCATGCCACTGACTGACTGTGTGGTTTTTATGATAACTGTTTAAGAATTTTTAAAATGTGTTTTCCTCTGGGAAATTCTGGGAAGATAACAGCAACAGTATTTTTTCAATCCCCACACTAAAAAAAAAAGACAACTACATGAAAACCAAAAACCCAAGGGCAGCATCAACAAAAAATCTAATGGAAATGATAATCTCATGATTTCCAAAATAGGAGCAAGTAATACCAGCAAGGCAGGAGCTGTCATAAGATGTCTGTGATACCAGCAAAGAGCATCAGTGAGACATCCGGAGAGCTTCAAAATAGCCAAAATGCACCTGCTGGAAAGCCCAGCCAGTCAGGCTGAAGACAGCTGGTGAAACAGAAGGGGATTTTTGCCCAAGTGCATGAGGGTGCCAGGACTGGTGATGGGATGACAAGGAACTGGATAACGGAGCTGTAGGAACCGCGGAAACTAACCTGCTAGACTTCTTTGCAGGAAAAGGACCCACAATGAGGACAAACTGCCGGGAGTGGGGCCAGCACTAAGCAGAAGAGTGATCAGGGGCAAAGGAGAGAAAAGGCGCAGATAAATTTGAGGGACTGGGGAACCTCCAAAAATAAACTGGCTTTAATTTTTTAAAAATCACAGTAAAAATCAGATGTTTTTAACTACAAAGTTAAAAATGCTATCCTTAAAGTGACCTCCTTTAAATACTTTAAGACCAGTGTCAGATAAAAATAACCCCAGGAAAGTATGGACATCAAATTCCACAGATAATGATTGTAACAAAAGAGAATAAGAATAAAATACATGACAAATTAATCAGTTATGCTTTATGATACGGACCATGCTGTATAACCAACTACTGGGTAAAGAGAAATATTTCTTTATGAATAAATGTAAAGGAATAGAATCTGATCCAATCACTATGAGGCTGTCATGCCCCGAGCAAACCCCAGCTAGCCAGCAAGGCCATGTTTAAGCACTCCATACTGAGACAGAAATCCCAGATAATCTAAGCCAGCATCGTTTTTTTTGGAATATAGAAATGTCTCCAGATGATTCTCACCCCCAGCTGTGGAGTCACCTCCAGACTGAGTCTTCCAAGCTGTGGCTCCAAATACCACAGAGTAGAAATAATGGCGTGTTGTAACCACCCTGTGCTGGTTGGCATGGCCAGTAGTCCGTAGCTCCTTTTAACTCTACCTGTGACATCACACTGGCAGCTTGAAATTAGGAGTATATACAGCATGGAATTAACAAATGCTTCAATCAGGACACCTCTTGCTCTTCTTGTCTGAGTTGTGGAGTCTTTTATTATGCGGTGAAACTGTAGTTATTGAAACAGCAAGGAAGGGTTACTACAGAAAGGTGGTGGTCTCTTTTCTGGAGAAGGAGGCAGTTGAGATCGGATCTTCTGAGGCTCCTGGGATGGCTAGCAGATTCTGTCTTTAAACATTGCTTTGATGTTTTAATTTTTTTTTTTTAAGGCAAGGTCTTCCTGTGTTGCCCAGGGTGGTCTTAAACTTTTGGATCTAGTAATCCTCCTAACACAGCCTCAAGTGCTGGGAATACAAAATTTCTTATTCTGATGGGTGGTTGCAGAAGTATTCATTTTAGAGTAAAAGATGAAGTCATATATTTGTTTTTGTAATTTTCTGCATCTTTTATAATAAAAATTTCTTTAAAAGTCTTACGATTTTTGGTACCAATATTGTTTACTACAAATGCCTTTTTGATATGAAATGATTGCGTGAAAAAACAATTTAATTTAAAAAATTGAAACCTAAATTATGGAAAGCCTTTGGTACCTAGTGATGATGTAAAAATACTCAAACAGCCATACTGTTTTAAAGAATAAGACACTTATAATAAAGTCTTTTGTTAGTCTAAATTCTTAATTCTCATTGATCAAAAGTCAAAATAAGCTTACTTTATTCTGAATATAATATTATAATTAATTTATAACTGTGCCATAGATTAGGGGATATAAAAATAAAAGTTTTCTTTTTTTTTTTTTTTTTTTTTGTCTTTTTCATTTTTATCGGTACCAGGGATCGAACTCATGACCGCCTGCTTGCAAGGCAGGTGCTTATGCCACTGAGCTAAACCCCCAGCCCCAAAATAAAAGTTTTCCTATTGCTTCTTACTATGTTTTATGTGCAACAAAACAAAATCTTTAAGATATTTTTGTATCAATACAGTATTATATAGTATTCTTATTTTAATGTATTATACTCGGCCAGATTTTGTTAGGTTGGGCATTAATCCCTAATATTTGGTTCCCCATATTTAGACAAAGTTGTAATGCCATTGGGAAAAACAGTGTAAAATTAGTAATGTAATAATGTTATAACAGCAGTCTGACACAGCATGCTATATAAAAGACCCTCAAGGGATGAGCTGTGCTGTGTGATAAAGTATGTAAATAGACTCAAGATGTGCAGAAAGGACTTAAACTCCACCAGTAGAACATACTCATTTAGATCTATGACAAATTTCATTGGACAATATTGCACCAAAAATTGCTTTCAGCCAATAGCTTGAGAGGTGGTAGGTGTTGCCTTAAAGGTTAGAACCTGGGTTGTTTGCAAGGTAAGAGAAACCTCAGAAGGTGTGTGTGTGTGTGTGTGTGTGTGTGTGTGTGTGTGTAAGAGAGAGAGAGAGAGAGAGAGACAGACAGACAGACAGACAGAGACAGAGACAGAGAGAGAGAACAGGGAAGCTGAGAATTCCAAAGATCATCTTTCCCTTCTTCAGGCCAACTCTGCTGAGTTGTCATAGGTTTCTCCACCTATTGTGAGAAATCTGTTTTTTTTTCTAAGACAGGACAATAAGCCTCAAAGCATTTTATGTGTCAAAAGAAAGATTTAGAAATAAGGTATGTTAAACACGGGGTCAAATATACACATGCAGCAAAATAAACGCAAGTCATTTTATTTATTAAATGACTATT